TACTGGAGTGTAATCCCAACACTCAGGAGGCTGAGGCAGGAGAATCATTGCAAGTTTGCGATCAACCTGAGCTACAAAGTGAGCTCAAGACCAGCCTGAACTGCACAGTGAGTCTGTCTCAAAAGGACAAAAATAGGTCAGGCCAAATAGCTTGGTGGATTAAGGGGGGGGAGGGTTGCTCATTCCCCGGGCCCACCCTGCCGGCCCCGCCCCTGGCGCGTGCTGAGACAGCAGTTTAGACTGGGTGTGGTGGCATGCTTGTAATCTCAGAGAAGCATTTATTCAACTGAGCCATCTCCCTGCCCCGGTAATCCCAGCTCTTGGGAGGCTGTAAACAGGTGGATCACTACGAGTCCAATCTAGTACTGAGACTGTGAACACCCTGTAGACCCTTCCCTAAAATACAAAAAAAAAGACAAAAATAAAATCCTATGAAGCCTATTACAAAGAAAAAAAGAAAGAAAAAAGGGTTTATTTGATACTTGCTGATCCAAAATTACTTAAAGTGGGGCCAGAGAAACTAGCTCATTGGTGTAAGCGCCTGCCGGGGCAAGGGCAGGGTTCTAAGTTCCTGCTACCAAAAGCAAACAAATGAGGCTGGCGAGAAAGCTCAGCGTGGACTAAAATTCTGCTTAGGGAAGTGCAGGGACCGAGTTTGATCCTGGGTACCAGATGCCATGCAGGCCCCGCCCCAGGTGTGTTGAGCCTGTGACCAAGTCTGGGTGTAGTCTTGGCATGGGGGCGCACGCCTGTAATTCCAGCGCTTGGGAGGCTCAAAACAGGAGGATCACTAGGAGTCCAAGCTGCATAGTGAGACCCTATGCCAAATACATTAAAGAAATTTCAAAAGCTAGCACTAGAGGTTCTACTTGACTCAGCTGTTCTCTTTGTAGGTATCTTCCAAGGGGTTAAAAGCGTCACACCACAGTTATACATCCCCATGTTCGTAGCAGCACAATTTATAATAGCTAAATCTGGCAAGCAGCCCATATACTCAGCAACAGATGAATGGATAAAAAATGTGCTTATATACAGTGAAGTACTACTCACCCATAAAGTTTGAAAGACTAAATTTGAATCATTTGTGGGGAAACGGGTGCACCTCAAGAGCATAATCTTAGGTAAAATAAATTGAACACACAAATTTAAACACTTGCGCATTGTTGCTTTTGTGTAAGAAACCCAAAAGGGTAAATAGGGAGCAAAATTAATGAGCAATATTGGGAAGCACGAAGAGTCTAAATGAGAAGGGGATCGAGGGGGGGAGGGAAAGGGGATTTAAGAAGACGGGAAGGGAAAAGTAGAAACGAAGCTTTTGTAAATGCGGAGGGGAATGGGAAAAAGCAACCAAGACGTGTTATGTACAGGCACAAGATCCCTATGATGAATGTGATCAATGACAAATACATACTAATAAAGAGAATAAAGTTTAAAAATGTTTTAATAGCTGAATTCAAACACCTACGGTACTTAGATGCCAATAGAATACCCACCTCTGACAGGACTAAACAAAAAAAGGGGGATTCAAAGGAAAGATCATTTTGTATTTATATATACAAAATAGTTAGGATAGATATACAGCTCTTTTTTCTTAATTCAATGAGAAGAAAGAGGTGTACTAATAGTGTTTGGACAGGATATCCTGTCTGCTTCTTATACTATGGGTAACCACTAAGAAGGTAACAATGGACCG